AATAGTCAAGTTTATTTGCAGAAAAATAATTCGCAATAAATCCATTGCCAATATTTTAGAATGTTCAAAAATTACAAAAGAAATTTTATTTTTCCAATTGAATCGAGATATTCTTTCGAAGAAATAGAAATATATGTAATTAAATAATAATTTTATTTTGCAATTGAGTCGAGAGGATATTCTTTCGAAGAATATATAATCTTTACATCCTATACAATTTTCGAAATATTCAGAATTCTGCAAGTGAATTTTTTCATAAATTATAGAAAAATAAATCACGATAAATCCAAAATTACAATTTTCCAATTGAATCTAGATAACATTCTATCGAAATAAAATAAAATATACATATATAATTCTCGAAATATTCAGAATCCTGAAAACAAGAAATCCTCCTAACGAAGATGACGCAGAGTAACATTTGTAAAATCTATTGATAATAAAACAAACTGGAAAAAACAAGGAATCTCTAATAAATTCTCACAGAATGATCACTATAAGTAAAATCGATATTCGTTCGAAGAAACGGAATTAAATTACTTTATCGACCATCGTTCCTACGAATCCAAGATAAACAAAGACGGTCACGTTTCGAGTCACAGAACCTTTACCTTTCCTCCCTTCGTTTTCCCCAATCTCTTTCACGATACCCCAGCAATAGCCCAGTTAACCCCTAGATACTTTCCATATTTTCCATATTATTAGCTGGCGCACGTCCAATCGTTCCCTCGAAACGAAAACCCCGAGCATGCGCCATAATCCCCAAGAATTGCATCGTTAAAATCGGTGAGGATGCTAGAAGGGATTGATGAACGAGGCAGGGTATGATTTAGTAGCGCATAAACATTACCGCGAGCGTGTTATTAACATCATGTGAATACGCAGCGAGGGAACGAGCGTTTCTTGAAGCGTGATAGAAAGTTGAGAGGAGTTGTGCGCGCGCGTGTGCGTTCATTGGGGGCAACTTGTTCGATCCTATTCATTTTTCATTTTCAACGAGCGTATTAGGATATTTCAGAATTTTAGAATTTTATCATTTTATCTGATTAAAATTCTGTACAACACTCGTTACATTGGTGTACATGTTACACGGTTTGATTGCGTTTAACTGATGTTTCAATTACTTGGGAATAATATTGGAATAATAATATTGGATAGAATCGAGCTCGTAATAGGATGTTTTAAGTATTCGTGCGAGTACGTGGATTTTTTTCAGATAAAAAAAGAAAGGAAAGAAGAATATTCGTAAGAAGTATTTATATTTTGGAATATGTGTTAAACAATGTTTTTTTCACGTAACATATTTTCGATACACGAAGAAAAATTTACATCGATACTAGTGTTGTGATGTTGAAATTCGTAGAGACGTTAATTATCTTTGCCTTCCTAATTCTCTGAACATGTTTCGCGAATATTATTCAATCGAGCATAAATTATATATTAATTCTCATCGCTAGATCAATGTGATAAATCAATCAGGATAAGTTGATAGATACGTTAGTAGGTATTTAAGTCATTCTTACAGAATGAGAGAAACCAAAATTCAAAATTCATAATTTTATGGAATCGTGGATCCAAGAGAAAGGGAGAAAAAGAAAAGAAATTGCATATACGCGTGGATTGACTCGGCCATTGCGAACCAAGCTCGCCCGGAAGATGGCGCAGTTGAGTTAATAATAATATTTAAATCGTCCCTACAGAGTGAGAGAGATCAAATTTCAAAATTCAAAATTCAAAATTCTATGAAATCGCGTACGTGAGTCCAAAAAAAAAGAAAAAGAAAAAATTGCAAATATACATGGACTGACTGTCGGCCATTGCGAACCAAGCTCGGCCGGAAGATAGCGCAGTTGAGTTACGTTAATGAGTTAGCGATATTTAAATCATTTCTACAGAATGAGAAAGATCAAAAATTCAAAATTCAAAATTTTATAGAATCACGTACGTGGATGCAAAAGAAAGAAAGAAGAAGAAAAAAAATTGCAAATATATGGATTGACAATTGGCCATTGCGAACTAAGTTCGGTTGAAAGATTGAGTTACGTTAATAGCGATATTTAAATCATTTCTACAGAATGAGAAAGATCAAAAATTCAAAATTCTATAGAATCACGTACGTGGATCCAAAAGAAAGGAAGAAGAAGAAAAAAATTGCAAATGCACATGGACTGACAATTGACCATTGCGAACTAAGTTCGATTGGAAGATTGAGTTACGTTAATAGCGATATTTAAATCATCTCTACAGAATGAGAAAGACCAAAAATTCAAAATTCAAAATTATACAGAATCATGTATATATGGATCCAAGAGAAAAGAAGAAAAAAAATTGCAAATATACATGGACTGATTGTCGGCCATTGCGAACTAAGTTCGGTTGGAAGATTGAGTTACATTAATAGCGATATTTAAATCATTTCTACAGAAAAGAGCAAAATTCAAAATTCAAAATTATACAGAATCATGTATATATGGATCCAAGAGAAAAGAAGAAGAAAAAAAAAGAAACAAATTGCAAACACGCGTGGACTGACTGTCGGCCATTGCTCGGCCGGAAGATGGCGCAGTTGAGTTACACGAGAACGCGCACGCGCCTCGTTGTGAGAAACGCCTCGAATACGATCGGACGGAAGATCACACGGTGTCGATAACATTGTTCCCTCTCGTCCATCACTTTTACCCCTTACCGTTTCATACGCAATCTTATTCCGCGCCGCATTTAACATAGATCCCTCGTAGACCGAGCCCTGATCCCTCTTCCCTCCTCCCCTTCCACCCTCCAACTCCTCGCGAAATTCTCCTCTCGAGAATGCGCGTTCGACGCTCGTTAAATATTCTTGACGCGTACCGTATGGGAAATCTGTACATCTACAGTCATGGCGCGAAAACACTTATGGGTTTTTAAACCGAGGCCATAATCGTTGCTCGAGAGAAAAATAATTCGTGGGCGAGGCTGCAATTACAATACATTTCTTGTTGTTTTTCTTCTTCTTCTCCTTCTTCTTCTTCTTCTTCTTCTCAATAAACTCCTTTCTCCTTCGTTTCGATTCTTATTTCTTCTCCCCTTGTTTGGATAATAATACGGGTTTTACGATAATGCTCCCCCACC